ACCAATAAAATTCCATTAATTGAGGCATCAGTAGGTTCAATTGTCTCCTTTTTGCCTTGTATTTTATTTGTGTTGTATTTTAAAATGGTCATATGACTAGTCAAATAAATAAATTATTATTTACCATTGAAAAACTAGAGCAAAATGTACATAAAATTGTAATTTAAGAGAAGACTGTCCAACTCTGATTCAACCATTATTCTAATCACCTTCAATGTTAATGTGCTTACATATCCTTCCAATAATAATAGAGTAAAATAAGTGTAACAATAACAATAATAGAGTAAAATAAGAAATGTAATAATAACAACGGCTGCTATGACAGTATAATTCATATATATTCCAGTATAAGCCGAACTGAATATAAACAAATTATTATTATCATTGAAAAGGTAGAGCAAAATGTGCATAAAATTGTAATTTAAGATAAGACTGTCCAGCTCTGATTAAACCATTATTCTAACCACCTTCAATGTTAATGTGCTTACGTATCCTTCCAATAATAATAAAAAGAGTAAAATAATGAATGTAACAATAATAATAATAGATTAAAATAATGGAAATGTAATGATAACGGAAATAATAGAGTAAAATAATAAGTGTAATAATAACAACACTAAAGTTAAATTATAAATTTTATATTAATAATAATATTAGAGTAAAATGACAACAGAGTAAAATGATAAATACCCTTGACTCGATGATGATGATGATGATAATTACAGTAAAATAACAACAGAGAAAAATAATAAATATACTTGACTCAATGATAATAATAATAATAATAAATAGAGTAAAATAACAACAGAGTAAAATGATAAATACCCTTGACTTGATAATAATAAAAATAAATAATAATAATAATAGAGTAAAATAACAACAGAGTAAAATAATAAATACCCTTGACTCATTATTATTATTATTATTATTATTAATAATAATAATAATAATAATAATAATAATAATAATAATTAGAGTAAAATAACAAGAAGAACAACAAAACAACAGAGTAAAATGATAAATACCCTTGGCTCGATGATGATGATGATGATGATGATGATGATGATAATAAATAGTGAAATAACAACAGAGTAAAATAATAAATACCCTTGACTCAAGAATCAGCCAAGGGGGGCTTTTTCAGCCTTAAAAAGGGATGAAAAACTAGGTTTATACTCGAGTATATACAGTAAGTCATGCAAATGTATGTGGACACAAGGCCATTTCTCTGATTGGCATGATTCAAACTGAAGCATCTTGCTAAGAATGCTATCTGTCAGTGCAGCTCCTGTTAGGAATTGTGGGAGTTGAAGTCCAAAACACCTGGAGGGCCAAAGTTTACCCATGCCTGAGCTAGAGAGATAATACAGTGACCTATGTAATTCCTAACTTTTCAGGGCTAGAGAATCTCCTAGTAAGCACGAGGGATTCAGAAGACAGCAGTCCAACACAAGAACGGTCTCAAGCTTGGCTTCTTCCATTCCTTCTTTCCCTGTTCCCTTTCAAACAATCCAGATGCAGGCCACCAAAAGGTTGGAACACTACTGTTCTAGTCCTATATAGCCATAGAGGGTTCTTCAGCAGGCCACATAAATAGTTTTATGAGAACTTCCCGTCTTACCTTGTTGAAATACTTCAGCTGCATGTAGCAGACACCCAGGTTGTGGCAGATCTCCTACGAGCACAAGAACAGAAGGAAACTGTAAATTACACACGATTCAAGAGAGGATGGGAAATATTCCATTGTTCCAACTGATTTCTGCAAAACCAAATTGCAAATGACAGGAGTAGTGCTCTCAAGAAGACCAACAAATTCAGGAATGACACAACCTATAAAAGAAATCGTATTTCTGAGCAGCTTCCTTGTTTTCTCCTACTAGTAACAACTTATGCCCACCTGGTTTGAAAAAAGATGACTATGTGAACCACTGACAAATCTATCTATAATATAACATACTAGGTTGGGTACCCGGGGTTGCCCAGATTATTTGAAAACGTCATTTTTAATTGTACAAAATGCATAAGATTGTGAGTGAACTACAACTCACATCATGCCAGGTTAACCCTCAGAAATTTCACCAGTACTTCAAGTTTGTGATGTTGGGCAAATTTGTTATAGATGCATCATCAGTGGGGTTCAGTGTGCTCTCTGGCTATAGGGTAAACTACAACTCTCACTATGGTGAGTTGTTCCCTCAAATCCCTCCAGTAGGTTGAGTTAGTCATGAGGGTTCTGTGTGCCAAGTTTTGTCCAGGTCTATCATCGGTGGAGGTCACAGTTTCTCTGGTTCTGGGTGAACTATAACTCCCAGAAAGGAAGGTCAGTCCTCCCCCCCCCCCCCCCCAAACCCCGCCTGTAATCAAATTTCTGCACATCAGGTTTGTGTGTCAAGTTTGGTCTGGGTCTATCATCTGGTTCTGGGTGAACTACAACTCCCAGAAAGGAAGGTCAGTTCCCCCCAAACCCCTCTAGAAAGTTTGGTCCAGATCTATTGGTGTTTGGATTCACAGTACTCTCTGGACATAGGTGAACTACAATTCCCACAAGTCAAGGGGAATTTTCCCCAAAGACCTCCAGTATTTTTTGGTTTTCACGGGGGCTCTGTGTCATCAGTTTGGTTCAATTCCATCTTTGGTGGAGTTCAGAGTGTTCATTGATTGTAAGTGAACTATAAATCCCAGTACCTACAACTCCAAAATGTCCAGACCAATTCCCCTCAAAACCCACCAGCATGCAAATTTGGGTATATCAGGTATGCATGCCAAGTTTAGCCGAGATTGTTTGAGTTCATAGTGCGCTCTGACTGTAGGTGATCTACAACTCCTATAAATTCCTTCAAAGACCTCCAGTGTGTTTTGTTGCCAAATTAGTTCCAGTCCATTGTGGATGGAGTTCAGAGTGCTCTTAGATCACAGGTGAACTATACATCCCAGGACCTACAATTCCTATAAATCAATGTGAAGTATCCCCAAGTCTCTGTAGTATGTTCAGTGGCTGACCAATTGTGTGCTCTTAGATTGCAGGTGAACTATATATCCCAGTACCTAGAACTCTTATAAATCATGGTGAATTCTCCCCAAACCTCTCTGGTATGTTCAGTTGTTGATCAATTCCTCTGTGTGCTGTGTGCCATAGAAAATAATAGGAAAGGGTTAAGGGAGAGGCAGTGGGTGGGGTCATGCAAATTCCACACCAATTATGAGAGTGAGAAACACTGGGATGTCTGTGGTGGAGGAAACACATAAAATCTAGGATGAAATGGTCCTTGTATGAAAGCCTTCCTTTGGGTGGTGGGCAGTGTGGTGTTTGTGGAGGACACTGGCAGGGCTCTTGGACATGTTTACGGTGCTCACTATACCCTGCAATGTTATTGGAGGGAGGGCTTTTGGTGTCCCCTGAGTAGTGGGAGCGATAGATGTTTGAGAAGGTGGTAGCTTGTCTGTGTAAGTGGACACCCCAGCCCCACACACACATACATATTTTCACTTTATCATGTGTATAGGAGCCCCCGGTTATGCAATGTGTTAAACCCTTTTGCCAGCAGGACCGATGACCAACACGTCAGCGGTTTGAATCCAGGGAGAGCGGGTTGAGCTCCCTCTGTCAGCTCCAGCTCCCCATGCAGGGACATGAGAGGAGCCTCTCACAGGATGGTGAAACATCAAATATCTGGGCATCACCTGGGCAACGTCCTTGCAGATGGCCAATTCTACGTCCCACCTCAAAACTTACAATCTTCCAGGGAGGCCCTGCTCTTGATCCCACCTTTGTCGCAAATGCGCTTGGTGGGGATGAGAGACAGGGCCTTCTCGACAGTGGCCCCGGCCTGTGGAAGTTGCTCCCCAGAGAAATTAGGTCAACAGCTTCCCTCCTTTCCTTCAGGAAAAAGTTGAAGACATGGCTATGAGACCAGGCATTCAGATAGCAGGCTGACAATAAAAATGACGACAATGCTATGGAAAATGGACTATGGACAGGCTTCGGATTAAGTTGTTGATCGTAGAACTTGGACTAATTCAATTTGCACTATTTTAAATGCTTTTTAATCTAATTTTAATGTTTACTTATTATGTAACTGTTGTTTTATCTGTTTGTATATGGCAGGCATCGAATTGTTGCCGGCTGTAAGCCGCCCCGAGTCCCCCTCCGGGGATAGAGAAGGGCGGGGTACAAATATTTGAAATAAATAAATTTTCTCACACCAGAAGCGACTTGCAGTTTCTCAAGTCGCTCCTGACACAGAAAAAAATTACTGTATATAATCGAGTATAAGCCTAGTTCTTCAGTCCTTTTTTTAGGCTAAAAAGGTCTCCCCCGGCTTAACTCAAGTCAAGGTTATTTATTATTTTACTTTGTTTTTATTATTACATTTATTATTTTACTCTATTATTATATGTATTATTTTACTCTATTATTTCCATTATTATTACATTTCCATTATTTTAATCTATTATTATTATATTTATTATTTTATTCTCTATTATTATTGGAAGGATACGTAAGCAGATTAACATTGAAGGTGATTAGAATTATGGTTTAATCAGAGTTGGACAGTCTTATCTTGAATTACAGTTTTAAATATTCAAAAACATTTAACCTACTGATGCCTAAATTAATATAATTTTATTGCGAACTATTTTTATTTTGAAATTTACCAGTAGAATCTGCATTTCCCACCCTCGGCTTATACTCGAGTCAATCCGTTTTCACAGTTTTTTGTGGTAAAATTAGGTGCCTCAGCTTATATTCGGGTCGGCTTATACTCGAGTATACACGGGTATATGTATAGATTATTTTAGCTATGAGATATGTCAGTATGCTAGTCGACATGATAAAGATGATGTATAACTACTACAGCATTACTCGCCACACTGAATGGAAGAACACTCCAAGAATCTGGAAAATCATGTTAGTGTGTGCTAATATGTGCTGCAAAGTCCTTTCAAGCGAATCAACACAGCTGCCCAGAAAGAGCTTGAAATGAGAGATTGGAAATATCCTGCCTGAATAACAGAATCAGGTTTATACAGGTATTCATACTGAAACCATACTTCACCTACAGCTGACACTTCTCAGCTCCTTCAAGGGTCAAATGAGCTATCTCACCTCTTTGCTAATGAGTCTGCTGGTCAGCTTTTCTTTAAGAAAGGGAAAAGCGCACAAAACGTGATCAAATAAAATTTGGGTGAAGAGTTCATCTGGACTTATTGAGCGGAACAATTATTGCTTTTTCAATGGAAGGAATATTGAACACCTTGGAAATATTGACCAGAGAAGATCGAGCACAGCAACCAAAATTGTGGTCTGAACAACTAGGTCAAAAATATTAAACGGCACACACTGTGACCCCTTTTGAACTTGGTCTGCGTCTCTGCTTTGTCGTTTAAGCTATTTATATGATTATGGTTTAGCTGTCTCCATCTGACTCCATTTTCAATGTTCCTAGCACAGGGTAGTTTTCTGTCTGGAAGGGTCACCTTTTAGATCAATATTGAGCACTGGAGAACGAGAAGGATCTGATAAAAAGCAATCTATAGGTTTTGTGTCCTCTCTGCTGCCGGTGATAGTTGCCGCTGTTATCCAAACAGGCAAGATAACCATGCTGACCCAGAAAAAAATTCTTTAAGTGGAACAAAGCTCTATGACAGAAAATATCGTTTTTGGGATCTTCAACAGATCAGGACAGCAAGACTATGCCTAATGTCAGGGGCTTAAAGTTCCCAATGCCTGGTTTCCCAATTGCTAACTTATTATGTTTGTTTGCTGCATATTCTCCCAAATCCCAGTATATAGCTGTCTTGACTAGGAGTCACTGACGTATCCCACAAGCATTAGCTGAATCTCTCTTTCAACTCCTCATACTGTGAATCCCTCATTCCTCATACTGTGAATCCCTCATTGTTCAGGTACAGTACACTCTCTATATTGCAGATTTGATTGTTCATGGATTTGGTGAACATGCTATCCCTCAAAATCTCTAGGTCCCCCACTGTGATCCTGTGGTCACCTTCTAGAAATAGATCAAAGAGTTTCTATATTTATTTACTTCATTTGGAGAGGGGCTCCCAACTAATGGCATAGGAAGGAGACAAGGTGTTGGGAAAAGGTTGCATATTCCACCCTGTATCATTTCATTGCAGAGCAGTGCAATAGGCTTGTGCCTAAAAAGTGTCTAACCTGCTGATGAGGTTTAGGGCTGGTTTGTGTCAGTTTCTCCCTCCACAAGAACAGGTGCTGGCCGCCCTTGGTCACTTATATGGCCCACGATCACACAGAAACATTTATCTGGAACCAAACTGTGCATCAACACAAACAGCAATGATTTCTGCAGCTGCCTTAGCACTTTCTCCCAATTACAATGCTGTTCTTGTGTGCAGCTGGATTCATAATCCAATTCTTTTATGTGAGCTGTATTCTGAAGACTGTCTGCTGCTCATAACCAGAGGGAAGCGACTGAGTAGAACCTGCCCTCAGTCACCCATCAATTTGTAAAAATCAACTTCACTGACAAATAGGAAGAATAGGCTCTTACCCAGTCCTTCTGGTTGTACTGCGTTGCATCACTGTACACTTCAATGGCTGCTTTGTGCTTCCCAAGGAGGAATCTGCAATTTTTAAGCAAATCACATCTTACTGCGTAATGAGCTAGGGTTCATCAGCCAAATAAATCAACGGTAGCTCCATGGATTCCTGAAGGTATGCTCTTGACTGGCCAAAAAGGCGTTATTAAGGAGGTATATCTAATCCAGGGGGTTCCACTCATACTATACAGAAGGGAAGATCTCAACTTGAAATCAAATCTGTTGTGTCATTTTTGAATTCACTCCATAGACGTTCCCTGGTGATAACACTGTTCTACAAATTTTCAGTTTTTCTCAGTTGCGGAAACGAAATGTGCCGTTTCTTAATAAATTTAACATGCTGAATGCAAATATAATAATTAAATGTGTTAATTGGCTCTGTTTTTTATGCAACAGCTATTTCAATTTTCTCCACAATAGGTAATTCGTTAATATGATAATGCGCCTAACCTTACTGCATGTACATAAACCGTGAATATTTACTAAATTTTAGTCAAATTATATTGCCAATAGTTTATACATGATAAATATTTATTTAATTAGTCTATTGTTTATGTTTGTGCAGCAAGAAACTCTATTAGTAGGCCTAATGCAGTTGAAAAGTCTGAAAGTTTAAATGTCGCTTTAATCGTGACTTTAGTTTATATCCTGTTTGCTTCTCTTGACTTTTCTTTTGTATTCAAGGAAAGGATTGTCTCTTACAATGCTCCAGCAGTAGTCTGACAGCATTGACGGAGTCCATTTGCCTTGATATCTTTTTTCCATAGTGCTTTATTTACACACGTGCGAGGCATAACTACAGTAAAAAGAACAATGTAAAACGATGTTTAACGATACTGTCTCAGTCTTCAACTGACTGACCCTCACCGTTCAAAAGTCTGGCCTTATATAGGGCTTTCTGGCTTTTGCACACGGCACTAATACTGCGTCATCAAACTTTCTAGAATATTCTAGAATCTTCCATAGTGTAAGTCGCAACATGCATTTTTTCAACCATACGTGATCACGTGATTGCTTATATCATAAAAACTAGAGCCAATATACATTTTTAAAAGTCATTTTCGTTTTCAGCACCCCAAAATCATAAAAGAACAGCTATATTCAGGCCTGCAACTTTCTAGAATCTTCCATAGTGTAAGTCGCAACATGCATTTTTTCAACCATACGTGATCACGTGATTGCTTATATCATAAAAACTAGAGCCAATATACATTTTTAAATGTCATTTTCGTTTTCAGCACCCCAAAATCATAAAAGAACAACTATTTTCAGGCCAGCAACTTTTTCTAGCATCTTCCATAGTGTAAGTCGCAACATGCATTTTTTCAACCATACGTGATCACGTGATTGCTTATATCATAAAAACTAGAGCCAATATACATTTTTAAAAGTCATTTTCGTTTTCAGCACCCCAAAATCATAAAAGAACAACTATTTTCCAGCCCGCAACTTTTTCTCCGTTGAACAGTGTAATCAAAGCAAAATTGTTGCTGATAGGTCACTCTTTTGGTGCCCAATCTACAGAATTAGTAGCCATGATGGAAATATGGGATCTCCCCATTCAAATGCAGTGCAAAACTGAATATGAGTTCTGGAGGGCAACAGAGGTGAGATGTGGCCTCCAAGCAGCCCTTGTTGGGAAAGAGGACACTGCAATGGATGAACCCATGGACCTCTGAGTCCCCTTCGGAGTTGAGAAGGAAGTATATAAATGTGGTAAATAAACCTATATAAATAAAAATGTAATGCTTGTTTGTGGGATTAACATAACTCAAAAACCACTGGACGAATTGACACTAAATTTGGACACAATACACCTATCAGGCCAACAAGTGACCATCACTCATAAAAACACTGAAAAACACAGCAGAACAAACTTAAAAAGCCAAAGATATTAAAAATACATTACAACACATGCCAAAAACCATGTGTTTTTGGCACCATGTATACACACACAAATAATAATAATAATAATCATCATCATCATCATCATCATCATCTTTATTTATACCCCACCACCATCTCCCCAACGGAGACTTGGGGCGGCTTACATGAGGCCCAGCCCAACAACACATTACAATAAAATAAAACTAAGGCATAAAACAACAACACAATAAAATACACAAAACATGAGAATACAGTAAACAATATAAAATACAATAAAAATAATTCACAATCACAGTGACCGTGAGTGGGCCACATGTACAGGATAAAATACTAAAAACTCAGATGAGATAGGAATGAAGCAGATTATTTGTGGGGGAGAGCTCATAAAAACCGGGTCATAGAAACGTAAGGATAAACATTATATACACAAATATGCACACATACATATATATATCTAATATACACAAAAAGCACATATACACAGACTGGGCCACAGCAACGTGTGGCAGGGGACGGCTAGTAAAAAATAAATACTTCTGGCCCAGTTCCTCTCTTTTTGTCTTCTTAAGCATTCATACAGGGCAAGATGGGTGCTTCTAAAGAGTTAAAGTATGCAAATATGAGGAAATGGAACCCGTTCTCTAGAAAACCCACACCTTCACAAGAATCAAATGGCACCTACAGTGATCGGGCCACCTGCTTGAGGTTGTCTGCACTCCGGGGCCTGAGGATAGCGCACGTCTGGAACAGCTCAAGGGATTCGTGAATCTTCCCCTCCAAGCGAAATATCAAAGCTGAAATGCAACATTACCAGAGTATATTATCCAAGGATCGAGCATGGACGTCAAAGGGATCATAGGCAAAGTTTGAACACACAAGGGGATGAAACAGGGACCCAAGCCCCATAAACAACACCTCACAAAGAGGTTCTAAGGAAGGGGGCCATGCATGAAAGGCACTGCAAACTAATTCAACCAGAGAAGTCAGCCATAGCAGAGCATCTGATGAACCAACCTGGACACAGCAAATTATTTGAGAACACAAAAATGCTGGACCACTCTAACAACCACCATGTCAGGCTACACAGAAAAATCATTGAAATCCACAGGCAGGTGGACAATATCAAAAGAAAGGAAGAAACCGTGAAAATAAACAAAATCTGGCTCCCAGTATTAAAAGACTCTAAAATCAGGACAGTGAATAAAGAACAGCACTCAAAAAACAGGGGAATTCCTGACATGAAACAATCAAGGCCAGCTAGCACATCCAAAAAAAAAAAGAAGGTTCTCCCAGGCAGCAACCAGCCTGGCTTTGAAGCTGCAAGGCCATTCAATGCTAATCAAGGTGGTCAAACTACAAGTAAGGAGATTCCATCTGAACATTAGGAAGAACTTCCTAACTGTGAGAGCTGTTCAGCAGTGGAACTCTCTGCCCCGGAGTGTGGTGGAAGCTCCTTCTTTGGAGGCTTTTAAGCAGAGGCTGGATGGCCATCTGTTGGGGATGCTTTGGATGCAATTTTCCTGGTTCTTGGCAGAATGGGGTTGGACTGGATGACCCACAAGGTCTCTTCCAACTCTATGATTCTATAATTCTATGGTCAATTGTAACATTCACACATGCCTCAAGCAGACAAGAGTTCTTTCTCCCACTCTGGACATTATTCCACAGATATATTATAAACCCCACTTGCATAGTTTTCCAATAGACCTCACAGCCTCTGAGGATGCCTGCCATAGATGTGGACGAAACATCAGGAGAGAATGCTTCTGGAACATGGCCAAACAGCCCAAAAAACTCACAGCAACCCAGGGATTTCGGCCATGAAAGCCTTCGACAACACATTGATATACTTCTATTTTGGAAATTACCTGCAACTAATTCCATAAGTTTTCTGGACAACAGAAGTTCATGTCAATTTCTTTAAACTTTTAAAGAGGAAAATAACAGGCTGCACTCATTAAACTGTGCAACAATAATAACACATGCATTTTTAAATGTCTGTACTTTTTATTTTATTTTTCATCCTATGCCACTGTGAGTGCCATCTGGTAGGGAATTCAGCAAATGAATGAATAACGAATATGCTGCCTTTTGCAGAATGCCATAGAAATCTTTTTTTTTTTCTTGTATGAAATATAGGCATTCTGGGTGATCTGCAACATCCATAACTAGTTTGGATTACATAAAAGTCTCTCTTTTTTCCATTTCAAATAATCAACATGTCCTGGACTGTGTGCATCAGATTTCATTTCTCTTTTCTGTAATAACTGGAATAACTAGAACTACACAGGAAAAAAGCTTCGTGTCTGTGTCTCTTATGAGCAAGAGACTGTACAAAATGTCTCATTTTTCAATTTTGCTAGCAATCAGGGTGTGCTCTCTTATGGAAGCTTTCTGGTGAAAGAATTTTGTTATTAAGCCAATGCAGACTTTCAGTTTTTGCAAAACACACTAGTAAAGTCATAAGCTTGCAAGCCATATGGAGAGCATATGTATATGTGAGGCACGCGTGTTTGGGCTTACCTTGAACATAGACTGCGTATTCACACATCCCATGGGTCTCCTGAAGTTGCTCTTTTATAGCGATCTGACCCACAGAGTAAAGAGAGGCAAGGCTTTAATAATGGCATGTTTTCGTTTGGACAAGAAGCAGAATCTATCTAAATAAAAATGTAATGTTCGTTTGTGAGATTAGCAAAACTCAAAAACCACTGGACGAATTGACACCAAATTTGGACACAATACACTGATCAGGTCAAAGAGTGACCATCACTCATTAAAACATTGAAAAACACAGCAGAAGGGACTTAAAAAGCCAAAAAAAAAAACATTACAACACATGCGCACAACCATATATATAATATATATGTGTGTGTGTGTGTGTTTGTGTGTGTGTGTGTTTGTGTGTGTGTGTTTGTGTGTGTGCGCTAGCCGTTCCCTGCCACGCGTTGCTGTGGCCCAGTCTGTGTCTATGTGTTTTGTGTGTGTATATATGTGTATATGTTTGTGCATATATTTGTGAATATGTGTATATCTGTGTGTTTGTGTATATATGTGGTTTTGCGCATGCGTTGTAATGTGTTTTTTGGTTTTTGGCTTTTTAAGTCTCTTCTGCTGTGTTTTTCAGTGTTTTGTTGAGTGATGGGTCACTCGATGGCCTGATAGGTGTATTGTGACCACATTTGGTGTCAATTCGTCCAGTGGTTTTTGAGTTATGTTAATCCCACAAATGAACATTGCATTTTTATTTATATAGATATATGAAAACACACATATATACACATATACACAAATATTTACACACACAAAACACATATACACAGACTGGGCCACAGCAATGTATGGCAGGGGATTACAAGTATATAAATTAAAATGTAATGTTAGTTGGAGAGATTAACATGGTGTGAGAGAACTGGCCGTCTGCAAGGACGTTGCTCAGGGGATGTTTTGAAGTTTTACCATCCTTCTGGGAGGATTCTCTCATGTCCCTGCATGCAGAGCTAGAGCTGACAGAGGGAGCTCATCTGCTCTCTCCCCAGATTCAAACATCCGACCTGTCAGTCATCAGTCCTGACAGCACAAAGGTTAAACCCATTGTGCCAATGGGAGCAATTACCGGTGCTAAAACGAGCTGGGATACTTCGGCCAAAACCACATTTTTACTAGCTGGTTCTAATCCTGTCTTAACAATAAAGGTTGCTCTTTATTATTATTATTATTATTATTATTGACACAAAAGCACAGTATGTCACAACAAACGAGATCTATATGCTGGATTTCGTATCACAAAATCACGTCAAACACTTCCCAAGCATATAGGACTGTATGATGTATTTTCAAATGATGTGCACATTATTATTATTATTATTATTATTATTATTATTATTATCTTTAGCATCTAAAAGGAGATTAGAGTATATTGAACAGTATATTGTACTGCTCTCTTACCTTACACAAATCATAGTCCTTGCGGATATAGTACAGGTGGATCAGCCAGTTCCTTTTCTCCACAATGGGCAGGTCTGGCACTGTGCAAAATTTGGAAGGTTTGAAACATTAAGATACATAAGCAGATCATTCCTTCTCAGAGGAAGATAGTATGGTTCAACCAAAGCAAAGCTAGGATCGTGGATACTGCATGAGGCAGGGCTGCTCTTCTTATAATGTAATAGAAGGCAAGAGTAAGAAGAATAACACTGAAGAAAATATGATACTAGACCCTGGGGAAATAAGTGTTATAGATTCTGTGGATAAATGGAGGGCATGATGACCACCATGGTTGTTTCTTATGTCTTCTCTTTGTAGGTGGACTATAATTTGTAGGTGAACTATAAATCCCAGCAACTCCAACTCCCAAATGTCAAGGCCTATTTTCCCCCAAACCCCGTCACTATTCACATTTGGGCACATTAAGTATCTGTGCCAAGTTTGGTCCAGATCCATCACTGTTTGAGTCCACAGTGCTCTCTGGATGTAGGTGAAGTACAACTCCAAAACTCAAAGTCTGTCCTTTAAGGCACAGAACACTCTTTGATTTTAGATTAATATAAATCCCAGCAACTACAACTCCCAAATGGCAAGGTCAATTTTCCCCAAACTCCATCTGTATTCATATTTGGGCACATTGGGTATCTGTGCCAAGTTTGGTCCAGATCCATCATTGTTTGAGTCCATAATGCTCTCTGGTTGTAGGTGAACTACAACTCCAAAACTCAAGGTCAATGCTCACCAAACCCTTCCAGTATTTTCTGTTGTTCATGGGAGTTCTGTGTGCCAAGATTGTTTCAGTTCCATCGTTGGTGGAGTTCAGAATGCTCTTTGATTTTAGGTGAACTATAAATCCCAGCAACTACAATTCCCAAATGTCAAACTCAATCCCAACCCTACCAGTATTCAGATGTGGGTGTATGTGGCATTTGTGCTAAATTTGGTCCAGTGAATGAAAATACATCCTGCATATCGGATATTTACATTACGATTCAAAACCGTAGCAAAATTATAATTATGAAGTAGCACCAAAAATAATTTGTGGTTGGGGGTCACCACAACATGAGGAACTGTATTAAGGGGTAGTGGCAGTAGGAAGGTTGAGAAACACTAAACTAGAGCTCTCAGGACCTGAAGTCCAAAACATCTGGAAGGTCAAACTTTGAGTATCACTGGTACAGATATTGGTATTGCCAGGTGGACCTTTGGACTGAGATATCACTGCAATTCCTAATGCCTTAATTCAGTGTCAAGTCATAAAGAGACAAGGGAGTGTGGTGAAGGCTCCTTCTTTGGAGGCTTTGAAACAGAGGCTAGATGGCCATCTGTCAGGGGTGCTTTGAATGCAATTTTCCTGCTTCTTGGCAGAATGGGGTTGGATTGGATGGCCCACGAGGTCTCTTCCAACTCTATGATTCTAAGGAGTCATCGCACAATCAATAGGAAGAAGCCTCTAGCAGTAACTGCTGGCAAGTCATTGCTTTTCCTGGCCCATCTCCAAGCAGAATTGAAAGTTTTCATAACACTCCACTGCTTGCAACATACAGGCCTGACTTGTAGTGCATCAAATTCATTTCTGCAGCTGAAAGGATGGTGGGCTAAAGGTAACCATAGCAACTGACAGCACGAACTAATGCTTGCAAGCCAATATTATGATAGAGAAGTCTAGCAAGAAACAAAAGGCAAAAAGACTGCTGAAGCAGGAGGGCAGAGGTGATGCTGAAGAAAGGATGGGGAGAGAATGAGGGTGAAGCTCAAAAGATGAACCGTCTCCTTCTGTGGTCAAAACACTCAATGAATCCTATTTATTTTCAAGGTAGCCTATAGCAGAGACCAGCAACTATCTCAGGCAACCAGGGATCTGAGAACTATGTTTAGGTTTTGGGTGAGAGGGCTCAACATTGGCAGGCAGGTTAGTATTAATTTTCCCTATTTGCAGGAAGAAGGCAACTTTCTTTCTCCACCCATTACATTCCCATGTCCTTAAATATGAAGACTTGCAAACAATGTGTGCAGTTAGAAATGCCCTCCATGTGTTCAGTGCAGCACTTAAATGTGTGTAGGATAGATTTGCAGGCAGCCCTTAATATACCTGGAAGGACTCCATGACAACAACAATAATACAACAGCCAGCAGAGTATCTGCTGTGGACTCATCTTGTTGTGTTTCAAATAATAATAATAATCTATATAAATAAAAATGTAATGTTCGTCTGTGGGATTAACATAACTCCAAAACCACTGGACGAATTGACACCAAATGTGGACAATATACATATCAAACCAATGAATGACCATCACTCATAAAAACACTAGAAAACACAGCAGAAGAGACTTCAAAAGCCAAAAAATAAAAATATATTACAATGCATGCAGAAAACCACATATATACACATATACACACACAAAACACATATACACAGACTGCAAAACGTGGCAGGGGACAGCTAATAGTAAAATAATAATAATAATAATAATAATAATAGTAATAATAATGAGGATGATGATCCTGGCACAACCAGTCAAGATGGTCCCAGTGGTGACCGGCACACTGGGTGCAGTGCCTCAAGACCTTGGCCTGCACTTAAAGATAATCAGCACTGACAAAATTACCATCTGCCAGTTGCAGAAGACCACCCTACTGGGATCTGCACGCATTATTCGCCGATACATCACACAGTCCTAGACACTTGGAAAGGGTCCAACGTGTGATCCAACACAACAGCCAGCAGAGCGACCTTGTTTGCTGTGTACTAATCTTGTTGTATTTCAAATAATAATAATAAACTTTATTTATACCCCACCACCATCTCCCCAAAGGGGACTCAGAGCGGCTTACATGAGGTCAAGCCCAGCAATACATTATAGCAAAATAAAATGTAAATAACAAAAATAACATCACAATAAAATAAATAAGCCATTCAAGTAAAATAAACAGTGCAAAATACCATAATGGAAAATCAAACACAGTGGGCAGGCCAAATGCACTAAGGTCTTAACATTTCTTAATGTTTGCTGATTTGGTGAATTTCTGATTACCATATGTACTCAAGTATAAGCCGACCCGAAGATAAGCCAAGACACCTAATTTTACACAAAAAAACCTTGGGAAAACATATTGACTTGAGAATAAGCCGAGGTAGGAAATGCAACAGCTCCTGGTAAATTTCAAAATAAAAATAGATACCAATAAAAGTAATTAATTGAGTCATTGGTAGGTTAAATGTCTTTGAAGGTTTACATAAAACTAATTTGAGATAAGACCATCCAACTCTGATTCAACTTATGTATCCTTCCAATAACAGTAAAGAAAGTAAAATAATAAATATAATATAAATAATACAGTAAATTATAAATGTCACAAAAATAACAATAGAGATAATGTAAATGTAATAATAACAATAATAGAGTAAAATAATAAATGTAAGTTTGGGAAGTTTGGCCCAATTCTATCATTGGTAGAGTTCAGAATGCTCTTGGATTGTAGGTGAATATAAATCCCAGCAACTACAATTCCCAAATGTATAGATCTATTTTCCCCAAACTCCACCAGTGTTCACATTTGGGCATGTTGAGTATCTGTGCCAAGTTTGGTCCAGATCCATCATTGTTTGAGTCCACAGTGCTCTCTGGATGTAGGTGAACTACTACTCCAAAAGTCAAGGTCAATGCCCACCAGACCCTTCCAGTATTTTCTGTTGGTCATGGGAGTCCTGTGTGCCAAGATTGGTTCAATTCTATTGTTGGTGGAGTTCAGAATGCTCTTTGAATGCAGGTTAACTATAAATCCCAGAAACTACAACTCCAAATGACAAAATCAATCCTCCCCAGCCCCACCAGTATTCAAATTTGGGCATATCGAGTATTTGTGGCAAATTTGGTCCAGTGAATGAAAATACACCCTGCATATCAGATATTTACAGGACTGGGTTGTGGCACAGCTGCTTGGGAGTCAGCTGCATTAAAATCACTACCGACCGAGAGGTTATGAGTTCAAAGCCAGCCCAGGTAGGAGTGAGCTTCAGGTCATTTGTCTAGTTTGTTGTCAACCTTTGCAGCCCGAAAGACAGTTGCATCTGTCAAGTAGGAAATTTAGGTACCGATTATGCGGGGAGGCTAATTTAACTAATTTATAATGCCATAAAAAAAACTCTCCAGCAGCGTGCAAAAAAATGAGGAAGTATTCCATTGGTGTCACAAGTGGATGGTGAAGCGACAGCTCCCCCAGGGGCTGGAATTCAAAAAGCATATTCTCATGAAACTGGAAAGTTAAATAGCCTTTGTGTCTCTGTCTATATATGTTGTGTGTCTATGGCATTGAATGTTTGCCATGTATATGTGTGCATTGTGATCCACCCTGAGTCCCTTGTGGAGTGAAATGGGCGGAATATAAATACTGTAAATAAATAAATAAATAAATACAATTCATAACAGTAGCAAAATGACAGTTATGAAGTAGCAACTAAAATAATGTTATGGTTGGGGGTCGCCACAACAAGAGGAACTGTATTAAGGGGTCGAGGCATTAGGAAGGTTGAGAACCACTGCCTTATGTAATCTCTCTGTTACCTTGGCTCTCAGTGGACTGTACCTATTTCTCTCTACTGCCCACATCTCCCACCCCTTCCTTCCATTCTTGGGCCCCAGGGAAAGCCCAGCAAATGAAACGATAGATCACATCGAGGATGGCTTTCGGCACAAACTGCTGACATCATCAACCATCAATCACAGCAGGTCTGAGTAGGGAACCTTTGCTATCTTGTTCCAGCTTCTGAAGAAGGGAGGAGTTCCAAAACATAGGCTTCAGTGGAGTGTTTCCTGTCTGTTTTAAATTGTTTGCAGCAAAGCCAGGGAGGGGGAATAAATCTGCGAGCTTCAGAATTATGCAGGCCGTTGGGATCTATTATTCCTCTTTAGAAGAAACAACAGGGGGAAAGAGCAGGAACAAGAGCTTGAAGAAATGACAGCAGCAGAACGGCAAAGAGGAAAGGACTTGGCACACAATCAAAGAGGCAACGAGAGCACGAATTTGTCTTACATCC